AGGAAGAGTGATCTCATTGGTCTTGGAAATGTACTGAGTGAGTGACACCACCTCCTCAGTAATTTGTGGGTTACTTCTGACCCTTCTGGTGATCTCCTCAAATGCTTGACAGATTCTGAGGAAGAACACAAAGTGAGAACAAGATTTGGGGGAGTGTGTGTTTGGTTAGCGAGGATGCAGACCATTCTCTCACCCCTTGTTAAGCGATCGGTTCTCCTCCAATTCAAACATTACAATCTTCTCCTTCAGTCTGCTGCATCGGTTACATAGTTCTTCATTCAGCTTGGCAGCATCCAGACAGAACAGGGACAGTGGCACTGTGATGGAGAGCGAGGTAATCTCCTGCCACATCTTGTTAATGCCCTCGATCTTCTAAACTCAAAGAGTTAACGTGGGTTAGGCCGAATTCACAGAGAGAACACGAGTAATGTCACAGATTTTACAATGAAAGCTTCTGTTACATTTGTGAATTCTTCTAAGGTGTGCTTCTTTTTGAGAAATGATGTAACGTCCTGGTTGGCTGAATCGTCCAATAGACTGGTAAATCTGTCATATACGTTTAAATACCTAAAGAGGGACATGGGGCATTAGCAGGACTTTTGTTGTTTGCTGTTTGGTTTTAAAAACAAAGCAAAGTCACAAAAAGCCTCACTTCGTAGGTCCAACGCAGTTCTTGTTGAAAATATTTTCAACCTTGTCGAGCAGATCTTTCACTACCACTTCGTCAGGTTTCACTGTGCGAAGATACAACTTGTTGATATCAGGAAACAGCTCACATTCCACCTGGAGAAAAAAAGACACAGAGGACATTGTTGCATTAGATCATATTGACTTTAGATATGAATCACTGCCATGCAGCCTAAACATTGGTTGTTTTATAATTAATTATCCATGAAACACTAAAGTCTAAATAATTCTGGAAGTGAAATACCCGTGGCAGCTTCTCAGCACTCTTCAGAATTTCCTTGAAAGCCCCACGGATTATCTCCCAAGATTCCTGGAAGTTCGGATAAAGGCCAATTTCAGGTTTGTCCGCTTGTAGTTTGACCAGCAGGACCTGACGCTTGAAGTACTCCCTCTCATCAAACACGTCCCCAAAGTCATTACCATCCTGAAAAATACATAAAGCAATTGAATTCTAAGGTCCATCATTGTGTGGGTGGACTGCAGTACGTTTTCACTCATTACTTGTCCTAACCTCGTGTGAAGTGAAGAAATAAAGCAAATCCTGCAACGACTCCATCACCAGAGTTCGGAGCTGCACCGACATGAAAGCAGCTACGCAGTTAAAAAAGTCCTGCACACGGACTGGAACCACCAGGTCATGTTTTAATATGAGAGGTAACCACAGGTCCCTGAAGTTGTTAAACAGTTGTGCACATTGATTCAGCCACCTGGAAGAAGGAGAATATGTTCATAATCAAACCTCTGAATCTCTGAATTAAAAAAATATCACAAGATGTCTAATTTATGAATCTTGGAAAAATCCACAATTTTAATTTTTTTTAATCTCTATGGTTTTACAGTCTACAATAGTTACATAAGTGTGCGTTCCTAAGTCTGAACAATAGGACAACAAGGTAAAAACAAGTCTAGATTAATCTTTGGAGTCTTGTTACAGTATTAAGCAGATTAAATTACTTTTGCAAGAGTTCTTCTCTGGCGTCCTGGCACTGTTTCTCTACAAACTCCTTGAACTCAGATGGCAGGAGCGGGAAGTTGGCTGAGAACAGGTCCTCAAGTCGGACAAACCTTAATGTGGAGAAGCTACAAAGACACCAAAATGATTACCTTCATGCACATTTAGAAGGAAACCTCTAGTGACTACAATTTAAGTTTAAATCTCTCTTCTGCATCTTGTACCAACAGATCTCATAAAATGAATCAAAACAAAAGTAGTTTTATGTCCCCATTTTTACTTCTCTAGTATTTGTATTTTCTTCCCAATTGAATAGACAGTACTTTACACACCAACATTACCTGTTTAACCAGACATCTTGAAGCAGTATCATAATAGGATTGACAGTAAATAGATGATTTTTTTGCCATTTCTGGACTGCCTTGTAGCTGTCTGACCAGGTCACCCTTGTAAGACGAGGCTTGGGAATTCTGGAGATGAACAGTTTCTTGCGGTCTATAGGATCCATCAGAATGTATTCCACTGGAAAGGCATAGCATTAATTACCAAGAATTAAAAAACAGAAAACCATTTTAAAATGCATCATTTCACTGTATACACCAGTGCAATACTGAATCCCAAAAGCTGGAATCTAGAACTTTGGTAAACTGACATCTACAAAAAAGACATGGCGTATAGATGTGTGTTTTTGTGAGGCCCTGTTGGTAAATACCTATGCTCCTCTTGATACTGAAGTAATAATCTTGTCTGATCTCCTCGTTCAGGTTAGCCCTGAGCATTTGGATGTTTCTGTCAGGGCTTTCAGGAGGCAGCAGACGTATGATGTCCAAAATCTGCTGACGTGGCTGTGGGGCCACTACTGAATCAGGAACGCCATTGGTGATCTCATACATGTACATCTGTGTGAGGCAAAGTAAGATTATGTGTAACTAAAATAGAATATGTTTATGAACATTCAAAGTGATCTGAATGTCATTGATACTTGCTTCTAGATCTTTGTCACTATGTTTGTGATGCCCATCCTGGCCTTGACTGACAACCACCTCCTCTGTGGGACTCACAGCCCCACTACACAGGTCTTTGTAAGCCAGAGATTTGGAACGGGACTGGAAGACAGGCGAATAGTTGCTGCTCCGTGCAACCCTCTGAGGTGACAGAACACGAGTGTTAAAATGTTGGCACAAGAGTTAAAGAAGAATAAATTCATCCATGGTATGATAAATTTACTTACTTCATATACGTCTGAAGGTTCCTCCTCCTCTGGCAGAGGAGGAGGGAAAGGACGCTTTCTTCTTTCACTCATATCTGTGTTGGAATCCTCACGCTGTGGTTGAAAGGAAAATCAATTCATCAATTTTAAAATTGCATCAAATATCCTGCTAAAATCTATTCGGGTTCCAGAGGTGGGAACTGTAGAGGGAGGAGAAATAAAAGACAGACTGCATTTTTGACTGAGAGTAAGGCATGTTGAGGTAGAGATGTCATGAACATAAATCAGTGTAAGCACCTCGGGTACACACCAGAGGTGAAGAGGTTGTTTGCAGGGTAGAGTGGATGGACAAAGAAGGGCAGTGGGGTTAGAAACTGGTTTTGGTTGTTCAAAAGAGGCTGACGCTAGAGGTGGCTGAGTCAAAAATGTTGAGATTTTCAGTTGGAGTGACCAAAATGAACTGGACAAGATAGGAGAAGGATAGAGGAACAGCTATGACATCACAGTTTGAAAAAAAAGAAAGAAATAGGAAGGAAATTATGATGGTTTGGGACATTAGTTCAGAAGGACAGGAGGCAGAAGCAAAACTGAAGACCCCAGAGAAGATGAGTAGATGTCATGGAGAAGCTCCAAGAAAGTTGAAGTGAAAGCATAGCTGAGGTAGATGATAATAAAACATGATATGTAGCCATGTATGGCTGATTTAATTTATTACTATATTATCTGCAAAGCAGAGCCTGTAAATTAGATACCTATATTTTAAACCTTTAAGACCTTACCTAAATACTGTATATTTTTCATCTTTCTTGTAGTGAACACAAAAAATATGAAATATATATATAATAGTAATTTCAACATGAGTTGTAGATAATGTGTATATTATGTGTTTTATTCTACTTAGCATAAAAAATTGTGCACTTTTCCATTTTTTGCACTGCTCTCATTGAGCTGTACTGCATTATTTTCATTCTTTCATCCAAATTTAAAGGATTCAAAGGCTTCAAGGATGGTTAATTCCAGAGAAAGCATACCTGTGAAGGCACTGACTAGACAATCCTCAGTGACAACACTAAATAAAGACATGTGAAGTAACCAATATGTAGTCTCATTACAGTGTCAGTTTTTAGTGTAACACACAGACATTAAAATGTTTCACAATCTTTTTTGAGCCACAGCAAATTTTAAATGTCAAATACATTGTCATGAGGCCAACATAAAAAATATTTCAATATTCAACTGTACATATACATTACATTATACTTTATTTCCCTCAATAAATCTAGTTCTGGGTATTAAAACCATTTATATATATAAATATATATACATATGACTAAGATAAAATAACCTCAATGAGAATTATTAATATGATATAATTAAACTATTAAAAATAACATTGAGTAATAATAATAATGTGTACTGTAACGCATGGTGTCACACGGTTGTACACGTTATCTCATTACTGAGATTTAACACGGGAAACTTTACCTTCCATTGTAGTTGAGGTCGCTGCAGCGGAGGCTCGAGTGTTTAGAGTAACTCTTTGGTAAGTAAACACACATGCGGGGAAAACTACCCAAGCGGTGAGGCGTTAAGTTTGGCAAAACTCTGCAGTTGTCATCCGAGAGTGTCTCCATGACAACATTAACTACCTGGATGGCTTTATTTACTGCTGTGTTGGACAACAGCGACACCCGCAGGTCTATGAGACAGACAGACAAATACAAAGACTACTGTACTCTACTTCCTAGTATGCAGCATACTGGTATGGCATAATTTAGGCAAAACATTGACTGACTGATTTTAGTTTTAGTAAATAATGTTTTTTTCTGCTGAAAGATGCTATTACCAAGGTATCCAGTGGTAAATAATTCAGTAAGCTAGCTTCCTTGTCTCCAATATAGCACGAGTCTTGTCTTGCTTCTTGCTAACAAATCACAAAACACACTTAACTTGTAAATTACCTAAATGAATAGTATACGTTCACAACAATATTATAAAGAAATTGAGAATTTGCGTACATACCGTCACCACAGTATAGACCCTCGCAATGTATGGCCTTTTTATTGTGTTAGCGTAAAAAAGTTTAAATGTACCTAATGAAGGAGAGGTCATGGAAAGTTCAAATAAAATGTCTGACCGCTGATAGGTCATCATTGATGATGTGTGTGGGCGTGGTCGACGTCCAAGCAGGTGGCTCCAACTGTTGGTAGGCGGAAAGAGAGATCCGTTGATTGTGCGTTGACTTGTGTCTTCTAATTTATTCATTTTAGACATTTTAAACATGGTAAGTTTTTAAGTGCCTGGGTTTGTAGGTTTGCACACGGTCGCAAAGAGAGTTAGTTGAAAGAAAGTTACCTACTGAGATGCTAATTATCTGCTGTCAGCCAACTTAGTGTTTAGCCGCCCTTGATTAAAGAAGATGGAAGAGGCGCAAAGTTACTCCCAGTAATGGCTGCCGGAATCTTCGATAATCACGATTGTTTTGGCGTCGGGTGACATTTTGCTTGTTTAAGTTGGTTTAAGTTTCAAGTTGTAGTTTGTTAACGTAACATCAATGGATGTACTGACATTTCTTCGTTTTGCTTGGTTAGAAGCAAAACCAACTGAAGTTTAGGGAAAAAAACTTGTACCAACCAAATGCTTTATAATGCATATGGTCGCCTTTAATGGACTATAAAAATATTGAAAAATTGACTCATCAGCAAGTCGCGTAGATGACTAGTAGTATTTAGAAAACATGTTATTCCACAATTTCTTCTACTTTGCTTTTATGATTAAGATCTGTCAAGTATTGTTGTATTTGTACTGAGACACCCGGATATAGTCCTTTCACGTTCAGTAAAATGTTATTCCACTGGCAGGAAATCAACAAGCCCAGGGTTGTGAACCACAGTCCACCATACGAGAAGTTGTCCAATGGATACACACTACCTGTGGGAAAACTTACTCCCAATGCAATCTTTGTTGGAGGAATGGACCCGAAGGTAACATCTTTGAATGTCATCATCCATTACCACAGTTTAATGTCGTAGCAGAAGCAGTCCTTTTATACCAAATCGATAAAAGTTTTTCCAATGAGATAATTTGACAATATATTGACAGTATCTTGTTTTCTTAAGTCAAGTGGTTTATTCTGTTTTGTATCATTTCCTAGTGTGTTCAGTGAACTGTTTCCTTGTGCACTGTTACATTTTGTGTCCACAAAACAACTTGTTTTTTTAAAATGTTGAATTTCTGCGTTCTACCTATAAATCATTTTTATTCCCAGGTGGAGGAGAATGAAATACGGGACATTTTTGCCAGATACGGTGATGTCAAGGAAGTTCGAATTATGACATACCGTGGAGGAATCTGCAAAGGGTGAGTTCAAAGGTTCAGATGATGCAAACCCTCAACAAACCACTACTCTGTCATTTGATTGTAGTGCAGCCTTATGGATTTTTTTCCTTTATGAGTGTTTTTTCTTATATTTGTTTTAAGGGGCTTTTTATTTCACAAGCTATTGTGTGTATTCCTAGGTATGGCTTTGTGTACTTTGGAGAAGATGTCAACATCCAGCCAATCATTGAGGTACATCATTTAAAACTGTAATATAATCATTAACCACAGAAGGACTAATACTTGTGTATGAACATTTTTACTCCAGCAACACGTAATGTGCAATGGCAGAAAACTGAAGCTGGGACCTGCAATCATGAAAGACAGGACCTCGCGTATGTATACCAGTAAACGTAAGATTGGATTTATATGTATTACTGTAGTAATTATTACCGGCATACAGTATGCGTGTGTTCTTTGATCAGGCTCAGTACCTTCTCATCTATTTGGTCCTGTTTCAGCAATGCGCTCCACCCAGTACTTCTACTGTACATACTGTGCACCCGTAGGTGGCGGCATGGCACCGCCTTCTCCCATCGTTAATGCAGGCAGCCCCTACACTCAGGTAACATATGCACATTGAGGAGGCATACTTTTGTTCTGTTAGCAACTGGACTAAAATTCTGAGGTGGACGATGTTAACATCTTGGAGAGCAGAGTTTGATGTTGGCTTAATGTTCTCTCGTTGTTGTTTTTTAACTTTGGATGATTATGTTCACTTTGAAACAACTACAAACAATACAGAAATAATAACTTGTGTTGGTGTTTTTTGCAAAAGCAACCAGCTAAAATGTTTGCAGATTTTCCCACACACAACACAACCCAATGGGACCGAAACTAACGTTACTTGATGTCACTGAATGTTCTTTTTTGGGGGTGGGGTGGGGGGATTTGGTTGTCTTTGCAGACGTACCCTTTCTCCAATTTTGGAGGTGTGATGATGCCACAAGTGCCAGTGAACTATGCACAGAATGTCTATGCCTATCAGGTACAGGTGTGCACATCAGGATCTCATACATAGCTTATACTGATACACAAAAACGATAAGGGATCAATTTAGTTGTAGACCACCCGTGGCTGCCTACTGCATACGCCACACTTAGTACTATGATCTTAGTCTTAAGCTATATGTTTGAGCAATGATCTTTCTGTCACCAACGCAGTATACTCCAACTCAATGGACAGCTGATGGGACATCGCACCCTCTTGATCAGGTAATTCTGAGTTAATTAATAATTCTAAATGTAATTTCAAACTTTTTCAAACTACTGGTGACGTTTATTAGATGAATTTCATTTTTTGTAATTATATCTTGGTAGGCAATTTAAATTGACAAACTGCAATTATACTTTTATCCCACTAGATGGTGGTATCGAGTCAGTTTTGTTGGCAACATTTGGGTAAAATTTGATCAAATTAAATATTCTCCTTGTCAGAGTTGAATAAGGCATATTTCATCTGTATATTGTGTTGTTTGAGCTAAGCCATAAAACAGTATGGCAACTAAGTACATTTTTGTGTGACTGAAATCAAATAATTGTCTCGTGGTTGCAGAGAAACCCTAAAATATAATAAAATCAAAGTAGAATACTGTCAGAATTGAAGGTAGGTCTTGTATTCCACATTTAAAGGCCACCAGCGTGCTAGAATAATGATGGGATTTGACAGTGGAAAAAATGATCAGTGTGTATTCTCACTGACACATGCTGTTTTTATGGGGGCTTGTTTAATGGCAGCTGTTCACGGCTGTTCAGTTTCTCAGTAAAATTCCACTCATTCTGTGATGTTCGCATTTTCCAGAACTTTGTGGACTGTGGAGTTCAGACCGTGTTACCTGTGCTGTAGCCTATTACCATGGTGCCTTCTGCCAGGTAAGGCATGACCCAAGCCAGCAAAACGCATCCATGTCTATGAATGCTGTATAATCATAACTCAGTCAAACATGGGGGTAAAATGTCTTAAGATTTTGCCCTTGGAAATACAACAATGCTCTAGGCCTTTAAACTATATAAAGTTCAGTTCAGTTGTACCAGAGGGAAAAACTACAGCAACTTCATTCAAATGGTTTTGGTTTGTTGATCCAGACTAAAAAAAACAAAACAACAACCAATAATGCCGCCGTCCATTGGTGTTACCATAATACACATATGAAAGAGATTTAAGTACTGTTTAAACGCCCAGCATGCATTTGTGGGCAGCAGCTGACAAGCTGACTGACACAACTGTCAAACAGAAGGGACAGTGGACTGATTGATATTTTGAAAGCGAGTTTTAACACCTGTCAAGATGTTCAGTAATGACTGAACTCCACCAACTCTATGAAGATAAATTATTATACATTTTGCATATTTCTGTTGATGTTTCCATATTAATAATCCCATCATTTAAATCATTCACAAGTAAAAACAGATGTAACACACACATCTACTTGCTGTTCTATCTTTCTTCTCCAGCAATATACAGTTAAAAAAAGGTCTTTGGATTAATCTTGATTAATTCAGAATAAATAACAATTAGCATCTGAATAATCCGATTTAAATTTAGATAAACTTTAACAGCCCTAATTTGCACACATGTATTACACGTGACTCATTATCAAGGCCTGTGTATTTGGCAGCAGGGAGGTTGTTGGTAATATGGCTGTACATCTGCCTCCTCAGATGCTGACAACATCATCTAAGGCAAACAGGACAGGACAGACATCTTGATGCTCCACCAGTACACCCTCACTGTCTGAGACCCATTTTAACACTAAACTGCTGGAAAGCTTTACTCTAACTGTATGAGTTTGAGCACAGTCACTTTGGCTGCACTCTCTAAGGCTGACCTGTGGTTGAACGGCTTTTACCCACATGGATCACAGACTGCACCGGAACGAGCGAAGCACACTCATTGTCACCATTTTGTTTTTTTTTTCTTGTTATTGACATGCAACACTGAAAAAATTGACTTAAAATCACCTTTTGTGTCTTTATAATTCATATTTGATTTATTTTGGGGTTATTTGTGTTTGTTTGTTCTATAACTTGTCAGGCTCTCTGTATGTGAACACTACTGTATTTCGTTGAATGTTATTAGCGATGATAACAGTCTGGTTGTTGCAGCACTAAAGTATGTTTCTTGATATCAGCTAAGCCTCCCTAAAAAAATGTATTTCATTCCTCAATGTAACTTCCATAACTGGTCTTTATTTTAAGAAAAGTCGTGTTAATTCTGGACGTTTTCAATTCACTTAGTGCAGCCATTAATTGTGCCTGGACAATTTAATTTTAAATTGTATTAATTTTTTTTTCTAATTTATGTCTGGGCTTCACAGTAAACAATCACGGTGTTAATTTTACTTCCCATCAAATTTTATACATCTGTTCTGAATCCATATTAAAAACTGAATGAAGTACGGCGATGTGCAACATCAGTTCTGGGTAGTGGCTCACGGTACACGGTTCACTTTGGGTAGAAAGAGAAAAAGATTTGTTCTCGGGTTGTCATTTTCTGACATCACGTGTATAGTTTTTTGTATTCATTCTATCTTGTTTACTTTTAAAAGCAGTGTTGAATTAATTTTTTTTTTGCCACTTGAGTGTGTGTGTTTGACTATTTTTCTTGTATACAAGTTTGCCTCAGAAACTGTTTCTGTGCTGATGGAACTGATTGTATTCGAAGTTGCTTTGTTCAGAGAGTCTGGTTACTACACTGGTTTAGTTCCCTGTTAACTTTTGTGTTTTTGAAAGTTTGAGCGTTATTGTTTGAAAACATAAATAAATAAAAGTTGTCATTTCAGTCTGTGGAGCTTGTGGGTTTTCTCAACATTTGCCCTGAGGTTGCCACAGCCAATCATCTGCCTCCCACTGGCACCGACCTTTTTCACCACTACATCTGTGACAGTCTCTTCTGCCTAGCAACTCTAAATACTGCTCTCCGTTTCACCTCGGATCAGGTTGAAACCGTCTTAGTGTTGCATCACTGATCTCGTCTCCAAACTGATCAACATTTCCTTTCAGTCTGCTTCAAGATCTCGGCATCCAAACTTGGTTTTTAGATATATTTATCCCATTAAACCTTTATTTTATGCATGAACTTGACAGTCGATAAGGTTGGACGCTCGGGATTTCCAGACTGTTGCAGCCCCTACAAGCCTGTCGCACGGCTGCTGGTTTTCAGTCAACCTGGTTTTGCCTGTCTGCCCTGGCAACAAGCCCATCATCATCATCATCATCTTGTTCACAGAGCATTTTGTTTTTGTCACAGTCTGGTGGAGTGACTGCAGTCCCCGGGGTCCCCTGTCCGGCCTATGACCACCCAGCCCCCGGTCAGAGCTTTCTGAATTATAGATAAATCTGGACGGGTGCTTATAAAATATGGATTTTCTAAAGGAGAGCCCTAAGTAAAAAGGTAAAAAAATGATGGACATTAGCGACCTCAAATGCAAAATATCAAATTCTCCGGGTTACATTTTCTGTCATTACATGGTTGCAGCATTAAAGTCTCATACAGGTAGACATACACAACAAATTCAATGTATGGACGCATTTAAAGTTGAAGCGATTTGTAAAATAAAATAGTAATCCCACATCCTACTGGCCAATAGGCTACAAGCCAATTTTCCCCTTACTTTATTTTTGAAATATGAGTTAAAACAGAAGGCGTTGTAATCACTGCTGCGGACCTCAAGGGAGGAAAGAAAACCTGGACTTGTATGATTTATTAGTTTTGTTCCCTGTTCCGGCAGTCTGAGAGAAAAACACATCTGACCTGGTTAAGGATTTCAACTGACCCTTGAGCCAGGCCTGGGACAGACTTATTAAACCTGGGTTGACCTTGACAGTCATACTTGAGAGTTAGTTTAGTGAGTATTTTAGAAACATTTTGCCACTGAATCTGAATGTGTGACCATTTGCATGGAACTTGGGACTTGGTGTTTACTTATGCTGTAGGATCGGAAAGCCAAAAAAAATAAAAAATAAAAAAAATAAAAGTGATACTCAATCATTTGATTTTAGTATGATATTATGCAATTTGCGTAATTTTGAGTAATTGAGGCCACCATCCACAGCAAAAAAGCAAAATATAGAATAAAGAAAATAAAGGTAGAAAATGTGTATTTATTTTTTATGCAGAGTGAAAACTCTTACGTTTATTCTGTATAAAAACAATGTGGCAGAATTCCAAAAATATTTTATTTTTTTAGTGTTGCATTTAGTCTGCAACTGTGGATTGTGACCCAGAGAGGAGGAGAGCGTCTCCTGTTTGACTTACCTCTCTCCCTCCACACACACTCGAACTCACCCACGCTGCTGACAGACAGGTCAGAGAGATGGACACGGGAGTCGGCGGCAATCAGATTTGATCCACTGTCTGAGCGGACGTTTAGTGTCTCTTCATTGGCTCTCAGCACATCTAGAGTCTCCGTCTTGGTGCCTAGACGTACACAGACCGTGAAGGCACCACAGAGAGAGAGAGAGAGAGAGAGGGAGACAGAGGGAGGGTGAGTGAGCGAGGTAGAGGAGGAGCGCACATCGACTGATTCCAGAGTCAGGAGTATTTCTCTCAGACTCTCTCAGACTGCAACTCCATTTACAGGTGAGTTTATTCTTTTGCTTCTTCGTCACCAAAATGCAAAGAAAAATGCACGCACTTCAGTTATTTATCACAGGTCTCTCGTTATTCCGTTTTTAAAGTGTTTCAGCCGTATTTTTCTTTCTGTCTATGAAAGATACTGTAAAAGTCTGTCTAAGTCTGAAAACCAGTCTTGACAGGAAGATAAAGGAAACCCAGCTCGTCGTTTGATTTGTGCGGCGCCGTGAACCATTATTTATCCGTGGCAGAACGAAATGAATAAGGCGCTCACCGCTCACTGTCACTGGGTGAAGTGATGTCAAGATATGCGTGACGGAGTAAATGTGCCGAGCGCAGATGGAAGAAGGCGTGTGTGTGTGTGTGTGTGTGTGTGTGTGTGTGTGTGCACGCCACCTGTCATGCATCATTTTCCCTTCACTAAACTACCAGCAGTACTGGGCAGCAACAGTTAGCCACGTGCTTTTGTGTGTATGTCTGTTACCCTCTCCAGGTAGAAACACTGACCTGGTCAGAACCACTAATCTGGTTTTACTCAGACAGAACCCATGCTGAAGGTATGTAGCTCCCCATCCCTGCAGGTGGTCTCGTATATACAATTTAAAACCCCAGGTCCAGTGGGTTGGTCAGTGACAGGACGTTATTATTTTAATGTAAGTCTAATCCTGTAAGTCGGCCAAAACTTTTGCAATAATAACAAGCAAAAGAGTCCCAGTGGCTACAACCATTTTCATTGAGAGATTGTGATTTTACGGAGCTGTCGCTAATTTGTGTATTAATTCACACAATTGTTATATTTAGGCTGAAAATTGTCTGTTAAGACTTTTATTTTTCCTCCAGTGAAATCTGCCACCCTGCGCCACACCCTTGAGCTCCCACTTACCCACACTGCCAGTATAACACTGAACATGATGGGGGGGGGGGGGTGAGAAACCCCCTGTAAAGGTGGTATGTACTTCCTTTCCCTATAAAATAAATTATAAAACCCATGTTCTATTAAAGAAGACTTCCAAACTACTTCTTAGAAGCACAAACTCTTCCGGAATTTGTTCACTGACATGATAAGTTTGAGCGAGCCTGGGAAATTCAGATAAAGTTGCTGCACAACCAATGCAGAACAGCCCAATCGACCCCCCCTTCCTTCCATTTCTTGGCAACAACAACTTATTTCCTGAGGACAATGTTATGTATTTTTATTAGATTCACTTTAGAAGGTTAAACATCTCTTGGTTTTGATTAGGGTTCAAGACAACGATGTGGCCAGGCTTCACAAATTAATAAAAAGAAATGCAGAGCTCAATGGGATTTGCTCAACAAACTTATATGCGGTGTGTGTTTTTCAGCGATGTGTGTGTGTGTGTGTATATATGTGTGTGTTTAGAGAGAGTTCAAGGTTGAATGCACCAAAGAGGAAACAGGAAAACCAGGAACATGTAATTTCAAGCCAGACTGCACCCACCAAATGCATGGGGCATCAATTAGTTACATGCCACAGCTTATCTATGAGTGCACCCCATAAACCTCCGAGATGTATTTGACAGCATCTGAAAATAGCTCTCCTTACTAATGAGTGGCATTTAATTTATCACAGGGAGCCCCCACCCCTCCCCCTGCAAACGCTACCCTGTCCTCACCCCTTATTTTTAATCCCGACTTTACAGCGTTTATGTGGTGATTTGAGGTATCTCAGGAGCATCCCTCAGTGTTTTTTAGACTCTTCCTTTGTTTGAAAACTCTTGTTTGTAGGTTGTGCTAGGACCTGCTCCGCACACCAATACATCACTGTCATAATTGTTTTCTCTCCTCCTAACACCGGCTCATTAAAACACAGTTTGAGGTGACAGTTTTGTTGCTTGAGGGAGTTGCACCTCCCTCAGGGCGGTTTGACACACTCCCACTCTACTCCACCTGCACCCCATCCTCAGCCAATCCAACCCTCACCCCCTCCTCTCTTACCTCTTCCTTCTGTCTTTTGTCCTCGATGTGTGGGTGGATGCGCTCCGAGGGAATCCCACTCCTCAGGACTCAGTCTGTCACCTGTAACTGTCAGGCAGTGAAAACAGTGAAAACAGACACAGTGTGTTACATGATGTTACAGCTGTTTTATGGCAACATGCAGAAGTTTAACTCTTCAAATAACTGTTACTGTACCTTGGATCAGATGAATGCCGCTGTTAAAAAGGCCAAGTACTCCTTACATCCACAGTTACTGTCCTAACCATTAGGAGTTACGGCTTCCAAGCGGTCCCATAAATTCCCATAATAAAGAACACTGGACGCCAGCAGTGACAGCTTTATTCGCTCTTAGTTGCTGTAAGTCAGTTCAGTGCATCAGGTGCAAAAGTGAGAGGAGAAAGAATTTATATTACAGCTTAGGCCGTGAAATAGTGAGAGAGAGCTTCTTGACAGTAAACGTCTGTAATTACTGGCCTCTAGCTGTCATCTGGGGTACAACCCCACATGTTATTAATAAATAATTTTTTAAAAATTAAGCCGGTAAGAATTTCCTAAAAGGGGTGTTAGGTTTAAGTTATTAGAAATAATTGTTGCTGAAACTAATAGATTAAAACGTCAGATTAGCCCCTGATTATCTGCCCATTTATTCTGACCCCCACTTAACATTTTCCCAAATGCCTCTCACTGGAACGACTCTTGGTTTTTATGCTAATGCTAAATTTGTCATTAGCATAATACATGAATGAGAGGAAATGCATTATGAAAGGAATAGGACGTCAACGCCAACATGTACAGTGAGACATTATTATAATATGACCAAGGAATAAAGAGAGATGAAATGCTTTTTCTTCTTAGCTATGTTGCTATATGCATAAAGTCAATCTCTCTTAGTTAAACTGTTATACTACAAATGTGATATATCACCAGCAGCAGAACCAAAATGTGTTTATGTGTACTTCTGATGGTAATACTCTGTATCTTTACTCTCTAACGAGAAGCTCTCTGGTACTCTCTGTCTATCTGCCCGTCCAATCCTCTGTTTTTTGTTGTTGTATTTTTTGTTTTTTTTTTACTTCTTTTGTCTGTCTATCCTCTCTCATCTCGTCTATCCTCTCCCTTTACTTCTTTTGTCTGTCTATCCTCTCCCATCTCTTCTTGTTTAATGGATGTTTTTTTCAGCCGGTGTCTTTGTGTGTGAGCGAGTTAAAAAAATTCAGTTTGAAGTCGACGTGTACAGAAAAAGGGCCTGGTAGAAAATATAAAAGGCCTTAGGTTTTGAACTGGAGTTTGTGCTTTGAGCTTTATCTTTGACACTGTGTGCCATAAGAGAAGACTTTATTATGTTTCCACTCTTTGGAAAGATGTTTGATGAAGTGACAATTGCTAGCACTAGCATCAAGGTGGACGGCCAAGAGGAAACAGTTTTTCCTCCATAGTTTCCATAATTTATCAGCACTAATATCAGTATTTCTGGGAATTGGGATTAAAACACTTTGGAAAGCCTGGAAAAATTGGAAGACACTCACGGCTGATTGCAACATCCCTGATGTTGGCAAGACATCCGCTCTGTCATGTTTGAACTACTCCTACTTTTTTGTGTAATATTTCACTTCTTTATCCCCGTCTCCTCACCAGTCAGAGAAGACGCCAACAAAACAGCCTGACATTAACCTATCAGTGTTCCTGCAGCAGACAGAGCATCATTAAACATGCGCCTGAAGGGGGAAACGTCGGGGAGTGGATCTACATACTCTGACTTAGACACAACCCAGAGCCCACTTGGCTGGTTGGCTGGCTCCCTGTCTGTCTGGAGACATTAAAGTAGTTTTATGGGACTTAACAGGCTCAGCAGGGGAGCATTTCTGCTGCAAAAGCTCATTGAGCCACGAGACAGAGAGACTGAATGGAGGGAGAAGGGGAAGGTAGGATGGGCCAAGTTGGAAGGTCTGCAAAAAATAAAACGTACTGTGGGCAGGGAGCGTTAGCAAATTGTGCAAGAGAACATAAGGTAACATTATGATGTAATGAGTCTGACAGGAGGGATCGAAGAGGGCACAATGGAGTGGAGATAGAGAGGTTCGGGGAAGGGATCGAACTTAAGTTGCTGAAGTGACTGCAAGGGGGAAGTGAAAGATAATGACGGATGGAAATTGGAGTTCCTTTAATCAGATGGACACAAAAGGAAAAAAGGTAAAAAAAAAAAGAAAAAAAAAAGAAGGAAATGTTTCCCAGGAGACCAATCAGGAGCTATTGTGGCATCTGAAAAACGGGAGTTGTCCTTCCACTGAGGATGGTGGACAGGAGCCTAGGAAAAAATGGCTGATTAGGGCTAGCGGGTCAGACAAGGAGGAAGAGAAGCTGAAGAAGGAATGTTGTTTAGTTCATGACTTCTAGGAGGGCGGTTGATAGGCCAAGAGGGAAAGTATGGTGGGAGGAGGAGAGGCAGAGAGAGAGAGAGAGAGAGAGAGAGAGAGAGAGAGAGAGAGAGAGAGAGAGAGAGAGAGAGACTCTGTTCCACTTATTCTCCCATTTACTTCATTTCCCCCGTCATGTAACCAGATTATGTTTAAATGTATCTAGTCATAACGGCTTATTTGTCTTGTGTACATTTAAAATACGGTTTCTTAATATACACAAGACACTACTGTAGCACTTACACTAATTATGCAAGACAGTCACACATGAGGTCTAAGTGCTTTGGCTCACGTGCGAGCTAAGGTATTTGTACAGTAAATGTGTTTGTTATACAGCTTTTAAATTAAACTGTTTAAGGCCCGAGTACGAGAGAAGTTACGTCTGGGTCAGAGTAAGGAATGTGCATTAGGTCCAGTGATTGGTAAATAATGCATTAGGAGGTGGTTTGAGTCCAACTCTGTTCAGCACCGTGTTGTCTGACTAACACGTTCAGCTGTTGTTTTTGTCTCTGTATAATCGAGGACTAGCTAAACAAGCTACGGTTAAGATAAAGGCGAAAAGGCCCAACTGTTTGCTTGTTTACCTGATAGATGAAATAACACAAGATGACATCTTGAGGTCAGAGGTCAAGAGCAGCTTTTGGTCTTTTGATTTAATACAGTAGGTAATGAATAAATCATTTTTTACAGTCGAGATTGAAGAAGGTAACTGCCAGGACGACACACTGGCCCAACCTTGATACAGCTTTTCTTTATCGTACTGTATCAAAATAATGTCCTCCTAAAAAGGTCATTGTCTTTTTTAGATGTTGGTAAAAAAATCTAATTTAAACTCTAAAACTAATCTTCCATTGAATTCCCAGTGCTGTCTGATTGTACGCCACTTTTAATCTGCTGTGTCTAACCTCCTGCTTACATCCTCTTGATCATTTCATCAGCCACCATAAGCAAGACTGACATTCACCTAAATTCAAATGTAACCATTTTTTAACCTAGACCCTCGAACCATGTGCAACAAAGTGGCCACAACCCACAGGGTAACCCACTCAGTTTTGTCTGGATTACAAAAAAGTCCCCAGAGGGTGTGTGTATACTCCTGATCCAAGTCCCCACTGCGATGTAACTAGACCACACAAATACGCACAAACACACACACCTAATGTAGTCTGTTTGGATCGTTAGCCCAGTTAACGTCCATGCGCTCGGCCCGTTGGGAGCAGTGGCGTTGTCTGTACTCCCAAAACAGAGACGGGGACACAGACATAAAACTGCCCCAGGGAAAACACACAGACACGCACACACACAACGACGCGAGTCGTCCGAGCAGTGCCAGACAGGGAGGATATTAATCGTAACTGGTTTCATCGCTGTCATATTAGATTAGCTTAATGAAATCTGACCGCGCCCCAATTTCCTCGTCCCTCACCCTTTTTCTGTCTCGTCCTGTCATTTTATCCTTCTGCCAATTTGTAATTCTGATTTGTGCTTCTATCCTGTCCTGTTTTTTCCCCCTTCCTCTATATGTAACTGACATGGCCGGCTCTAAATTGCCTGCTGAAAGTCAGGAGCCGAGGAAATTTCAGGAGAAATTTTAAGCCCCCATCCACGGATTGGCCAATCAACATTTGGTGAGCGTACGCTCTGAGCCTTAAACCTTAGGGAAGTCTTAGAATAACACCGTTTTTTTTCTTTGTGTTCCAAGAATACAACATGGTTACATTTGAAACTCTGGCTTCCTCCTCCCTCCTCTGCTGTCCTCGTGTATATTTCCTCACAGCGTTTTGCTTGACGGAGCAGGAAATCAGTCTCATTTCGGCTTTAATTCGTTCTGATCAAACATGTCACTACCAATCAACCCTATTTGATTAGGAGACGCTCGTATCGCTGCCTGCCAAGCAGGTAATGGCTGATGCTCATATTTCAGTATTGTTGCTGCTTGTGTGTGTGTGTGTGTGTGTGTGTGTGTGTACGAGAGAGACAGTGAAAGAGTGAGTGTGTTAAAGTTAGATGAGCTCATTCTTCTGTACAAGCTCACACACGAGCGAAAGCATGATAAAAGCCTGTGTGTGACTTTCTTGCATACATTACAGTAAGTGCTAAAGTCTTGTGTATATTTAGAAACACTTTCTGAGCAAGCTTTTGTTGGCGCCTGTCTCAATTTATTTTATTTTTTACCCTGATATGATCTAATTTCCGCACAGACATGGGGTGTAGGCTGCCAAAGCTACGGAAGACAGAAGAGAGGAGAAGCCCAGGAAACATCTACTCCACTCTCCGGAGGCCTCAGGTGGAGACTAAAGTGGGAGTGTCGTACACCTACCACTTTCTGGATTTCCTGTTGGGGAAAGAAGGTATGAATAATACAATATATCACAAGTGCTCTCCCAGTTTGACAGTTGCCTGGTGTCCATTTAAACTGTCTCTCGCCCATGTGGTTAGTCTGAGCCGGTGCAGCCCACGGGGACTTAAACATTATGTGAATTGATTGACATCAATAATGCATCATTTTCCCCATTATAGATTTTTAACATGAAATAAACCGGCAGCTCTCAGACACAGATTAGTTGTAGGTTATTATTTATTATTATTATTATTATGTCTTATAATAATTTAATTTGTTTGTAATTTAATTCCATTTTCTACCAACTAATTCTTCATTGCAAGGGTCACCAACTATATTTGTTTGTCTGGATAGAGCCCTCAGGGGCCGGACACTCAAATATGAAATAAAAATTACACTGTAATGTAAATATAGTCACAAATGGTTGGGATCACTGATAGTTATTTAAGTCACAATATGTTTTCTTTGACCCGAACAATTTTGGAATCCAGTTGCAGGCCAAAAAAGAAAAAAAAAAAAAAATCTGTTTTCAATATTCTCATTTCTTTCTATTGAACTTTACTCTGCTTTGCCGGCCTCCTCCTCCTCTCCCTCCTGCTGCAGTTTGTGTGTTCCACTCATAAAATAGCCGCACATGCTCTTCCAGCTTTATCCAGTTAAATTAAATGTTTAGCTCAGCAACTCTGCACAACTGAATTTTCCTCACACTCTGGAGCCTAGGGGAGGACTGGCTTTACACGCTGAAGTTGTGTCTACTTGTGGCTCCTGTTGCAGGGAGTTCAAGAAGAGGTCTGAGACTCAGAGCTTTAGCTCCAAAACCTCCCACTAACTGCCCCTTTAAAAAATCCCAGTATAATAAAAGTGTGTTCCCAATTCAGGAGATTTTCCTGAATACAAAATATTGTGTGTGTGTACTATGTGATTGCAGCCTCTTGAGAATGTTTGATGAGAAGCCTCCAGAGGCAAATGGTATCTAAAAATACAGATTTCTAACCAGACATTGTTGAAGCCGATGTTTCTGCTCTAAACTCCTTTCCCTTATGGTTTAATGCTGTCGTTGTTTTTTTTCTACATGCTGCCACTTTGTCATCCATCCTGCTGGTGCAGGTGCAAGGCACCGACTGAGTCCTTTTTGAAATCATTTCCAATGCAACAGTGTAACAGACAGCAGGTCCATGAGCACAGCCAAGTGGCAGCCGTCTCGCTGCCAATCAGATTCCTCTCGCTGCCAACCTTGTCGTGTTTGGCAAATGAGTGAGGCTGTAGTCCTGGCTGGGAGAAATTTGGCAAATTCAAAACGTTGGTTGAGCTAGTGACCAAAGCACACAAAAGACAGCAGAACTGACGCTCCTCTCTGGATGGTGGTGGAGCAGCAGATAAACTGACTTATGAAGACATCACACAGACTGTACACACCTCGAGGTCGTACAACCGCTCGTGGTGACTCATTCAGACTGACACGCAACACCAGGTTGGCAGGAGAGTTAGTGTTATCTTTCCAAACACAGGTGGGTCATTTATATGGTGAAGCCCTGACACAAACTGATCAGTGTAGTCCGATTTAGAGTTGACACAACAGCCCAGCACTGATGGTGTGTGTTGTTTTTGTGGCTGTGAGTGGGTGTTTGACTGCCTCTCTCTCTCTCTCTCTCTCTCTCTCTCTCTCTCTCTCTGTCTTTTCCTCTTTCCATTTGTGATAAAGACCAAGAGAAGTGAAGGATTCCTAAAGGATTATCTGATTGTTTGTGGAGATGGAGAGACCTCATTCCCAGCGAAGGGATTTGTTTGTGTTTGTGTGTGTGTGTGTTTGTGTAGGAGGCAGAGAGAGGAATCTGCATGTCAGTCCTTGACATTGAGGAAATCCATGGTCGAATCCATGCTTTAATTCAATTTGACTTCCGTTAATAATATTATTTCCATGCATGCGTGACATTAAGACTCCAACGTCATGATGGAAAACAAATATAACTGCCGGTCTGCCTCCAGGATGTTTAAATGTACTTATACAGGAAGAGGAGCTTACTGATCGGATGAATTTAGTCGCCAAACTGACCTTTGACCTCTCTTATACAATAACTGTAGCGGATGAGAAAGTGTCTTTATTTGTTTTATGAGCTCGAGCAGTGGTTTAGCAAAAAAAAAAAATGCCCTTGTGATTCATCCCAGTTCAGTTACGGTCGGTCACACGGACCCTGCGGTGAATTTTAGTGAGAGTGAAGAAGATTTGTTTTGTTTTTCGAGCGTTTACCCTCTGATTCACACACAAACTATTTATGAGAATTTTCGGTGGTCTAATCATACGGCGTTCAACCAAAGTCTCGTTCCACTCTCCTCAACCTCTGCTCCAGTAAACATCCCCCACTCTCACTAAGTGTCCGGTCATCTCCATTATCCTGCATTGATTGGTTACCTTGACATGTCAGTATGAATGTGGAGTATGAAATGTAACTGCCACATGTGACATTTTAATCCATCCTCCTTTGTGTCACAGCTGTGCACAGATAATGAGCAGAGAAAAAAAAAAACAGGAAGCAGAGAGAAATGAGACACGGTTTGAAAAAGGCAACGTGAAAATGGGGAAAGTATGAAGCCAGAAAGGCTCTCGCAGAAAAGTCGAAGAAGTGAACGACTCGTGAAAGCCACTGATACAATGAGCTGCCGCTTATGAAGGATATGAAGGGGGACACGGAGTGAGGAGAACAAGGGGGAGAGAACAGAGTGAGAGGTGTGAGCACGAGTCAGGAATGTGTGGATGTGTGAGGTGAGGTGTGACGCCGTGTGACTAACGCCGGTCTACGGCACCGACAGTGAAGAGCTGATCTCCGCTGATGACTTTCTGCCGCCCTACAGAGATGGAGAGCCACTCATCTCATTAAAATGTACAACATGTGTCTAATGCCGGTGTGTGTGTTTGGGTAGTGTGTGTTACTTTGTGTGTATGACAGACTTTCAGTGATTTAAGTTTTCTATCTGGATCTGCAGCTCAGACAAAACTATAGCCTGTTTATGAGAAATGGGTAGAGCCGTGTGCTTACAGACTAGAGTTGCAAAGTCCCAAAACATCAGAATGAGAATTCTTATAATTCTTGTTACGACTAAAACCCTGCTTCTCCAACATTCAGCTAAACGGGTCGTTTAGAAATCTATGTAAAACTACTAGTCGACAAACTCCCCCTGTTTGAAAAGGAAATATTTATTGAATGTATAAACAAACTGAGAAGTAACCTGCGTTCCATCTGGCTCACATATTTACCAGTGGTCGCCAAAAGTGATCTCCAATTTTAAATACTGATATTTAAAAGTGGACGCGTCCAAGAACGAAGGTCTGTGCTAGTTCAAATAAAATCTTCTGCCTTTATTTAGTCTTTTACTTAATATTTGTGTTTTTAAAGAGGTATTCATTTAGAAGAAGAAATAAAGCTGAGCATATTCTTAATAAATTGAAGTCCTATTTATATATATATGTTATTATTTTATTTTAAATAATGTCAGTATGCTACAGGACTGTGTGGAAAAGTGAGCCAGACAAGAATCACACCATCACAGTTACATGTTGTTTGTGTGCAGGCCTACAGTACAACACGTCATTGTGTTCTCATGCAGCTTTCCTACTCTCACACATTGTTCAACGCTGCGACTCTGCCTTAGATCAGACCGGTTCAGAAACCTCAGACGCTGACCAACTCCTGCATTCCCCAAACAGTGGGGAGCTCCTGGCTCCAGGAAGTTGATTATTTTACAGTCACTGTTTTGGAACATATCCTCACATTAAACCTCTGCAAGTCATTAGAAGGTTATTTAAATAAACGTGAACCTCCATCAGGCACAGGGATAAGCCTGGAGGGCCTGTGTGAGTGGTAATCCCCATGCATCACCTAGAAGGCTTAGTGCAAACTCTCTCCCTCCCTCTCTCTCTCTCTCCCTCCCTCTCCCATATGCACACACAAAGACATCACAGGCAGCAATACGTTCCGTACACACTTACCCTGATAATGTGTGGCACACATAATGCGCACAATATGCTTTGCGGAGACACGCGGTGTTTCAAGTAAATTGCACATGGAATTAAAACGCTGGCACCAGTGTGTATGGGAGGTGATGGCGCTCATACACAACTGTGAAATCCAGGGTCACAGAGAAGCGCACGGCGGCTGTCGCCTGGTAAAAGCTGTGGGTTCAACGTGAATGTAGCAGGGCAGGAATGAACAGCTGCAGACACTGCTGCTCCAACACTTCGGCTGCATGTTAAACAACTTGGTCGGCCGCGTTCTTGTTTGTATCTCTGACATAAACTCAGCATGTCGCACAGATGCACTCCCTTACCCCTGCTTAGTCTATATTTTGATACACTTGGAGTTTTCAATGAACATCCTTTGGACTAGTTTCCCAGTCCTTTCCCAGAAGAATTTACAGAGAAATCTCCACAATCACGGACAGTTTTAACTGTTATTACACTGTACTACCGTCTAGTCGACAGTCTCTCTGGGGTCACTGCAGCTTGTTTGTGTAGCATGTTAGGATAACTGACGAGTCCTTGGTAAATTACTTGAAATTCAAACTTGGCAAAACCTCTCTCCAGAGATGATCACATGGACAATTTAGTGTAAATAATTTCACAACTTACAACAACAGGGCAAAATATCAAACCATGATCTGACACCTTCTCAGAAATGCACATCTAATATAAGTCATGAGGTTCAAGCCGGAAAAATGCACAAACATGAGACTTAAATATGACAAAGTTTACCAGCTTTCCAGGAGGAAAAAAAACAAACAATATCTTCATAGAATCCAGAACCTGCAAACAGGTATCCAGTCAAGAGGCTGCAAACTAGCTTAGCATGTCCATCTAGCGTGATCTAGCGTAGAAGCCATTTTCAAGAATTTAATGTAGGTTGCTATGACATGGAGTTGAACCCTTCACCTTTTATCCCATTTCCTGTATAAAGACCAGTAATGCACAGCGCTGAATATTGCCGAACCCCCCACCCCACCCCCCGACCACAACCTCCACCCTGCTTTTCTGCCCTGAGCTGTTCCCATGTTCTCATTCTGGAACGGAACTGCAGCCTCCCGTTTTTTAAATCCAACACTTTCAGACGGTACAAATGAAGTTTCTTCCCAGCCTGCAGTGCTGCGTTGCACCCTCATAACTTCTGTGTTACCCTGCCTGAATTAGCCGCCACGCCGTGTCTGCATTTCAACGGTGGGTGAGTGCCAGCCGTGCAGAGATAATGACGGTTAATGACTGTTTACGGTGACAGGAATCGTTCTTAACCCCCTCCCCGTAACTACGCTCTAACACACCCAAGTCTCCAGCTGGTATTATTATCATCACTGCTGCTTCAGATAATTCCCCCCAGACAACCATTTAAGGGGTCTCTGGGTTTCAGACGGCCAGTGCCAAGAGGATGACGGAGGTTGGACTGTCTTTGTTGTCTTTTGTCTTTATGGTTTTTCTATGATCGTAGTCAGGAGCGTGTGTTTTATGTGTGTATGTATGTCAGGCAGCCTGTGTACGAGTGAAGGTGCTAGATGATGGAGAACAAATTGAAAATGAGATGGGTTGCATGTGTCTTTTTTTTCTCTGCAATAGTGTGTGTTTGTGTGTCTGTGTGTGCGTGTGTGTGTGTGTGCCAAGTTAATTTATTCAGGTTATTTTCTCTTCTGCAGACCCATGCAAATGAGACTGAACAGAAAAGGATGACAAGCATTCAGCCACAGACAGCCTCATCTCTCTCTCTCTCTCTCTCAACCTCTCTCTTTCTTTTTCACCTTCTTTTCTTTCTTATTCCTCTCCCCCACTTCCTATACTGCCATATCAATTCCCTCCCTCCCTCTCTCTCTCTCTCTCTCTCTCTCTCTCCCTCTCTCCTTGGCTCCACTCATCCATACAGCCCTTACATACACATGTTGCCCTAAAAACCGGTGAACAGAGACAGGGTTTACAAAGCACCGACCCCGAGAGAACACTCCTCACAAACATCGCTCTCTCACTGCTGGATTGGTGTGACTGTTTGCATCCATAAGATAAGCTCCGTTAACACATTTCCACTGTATTAAATGTGTGTGTGTGTGTATGTTTGCTGCCGTTGTTTTTGGTAGTAAGCTAAACAGTAGCTTGTTTGGTGCTGAAGCCACACGTCTAATGAGAGGAAGTGTGAGAGTTATTGTCTTCCCCTGTCATTATTGTGCGTGTTTTGGTTAAAAAGCATCGACGCAGGCGAGTGTTTCCCAGAGACGGACTGAGCCTGGTGTCAGCTGGAACAGTAGGATAATAGTCCTGCTGTAATTAGTTCCAGTTTGAGCGTGAAGATGGCACATGTTGTTCAGGAGGGAACGATCAGTTTGGAACGTTCACTCTGTCCGTGTTTTATTTCCCTTCCTTCTCTCTGTTCCAGCCTTAACGTTTTTACACACTGTTGTGCTTTGAGCCCTCGGGCAGTTCCTTTTCTGGACAAACATATCTCCATTTCCCACTCCTCCTTGCAGAGGTGCCGGTGTCATCGGTGCTATGCCTGTCCTCGGTCAGAGAGTTACCTGTGCAGGTGAGGGAACTCTACGCCCAGGGATTTGTCTTGGTGGCAGTCCACCCGTTCGTTCACTCCTGCGGGCCTCGACATGCACACATCCAACGACAGCTTCACCGAGCCGTGCTGGTCCGTGAGACGCCAAGGTACGGAAATTAATCAACAGCTAATGTGGAAAAGTTCTGCCTTGATTTTCTCTGCGGTGTGTTGTAATTAGGAGAAAAAAAGAGATGATTCATTTTGGGCCAGTTTGTGCCAGTGTAGCTGTTAGCTGCCGCTTCACTGCCTTGATTATTTGGAAGCCAATTCAACATGATTAGTAACAAAAATCCTCCTTCTCTTGGTGTAAAATTAATTGCCCATGAAAAAAAACTGCAACATAGGTTTAATTTTAGCTCAGTGACCCAATTCCTTCAGTCTTGGCTGTATTGATACACCAAAACCTAGTAAAAAACAAAACCGAGACATAGACCAGATCTAGTCACCTTGGTTTTACCATCAATAGAATTAATATATATACTGTGTATATGTTAGCTGTCAATTAACTGAGATAAATTCCTAAATTTAACAACAACCTTTTTTTCTATATACTGGTGGAAAGAAAAGGCAAATAACAACAGGTAGTTGTACAGGGTTTCCCCTACTATTATATCAGGGGGGCACACACACAAACAAACAAACAAACACAGGTACACACGCCTAAGCAGCACACGGATATGACCCAACTTGGCTGTTAGAGAGAAGTAATTCTTAGTGGCTGTACGGAACAGATATTGGTAAGTACGTGAAAAAATACATGAGGGCACAAATAAAGGATAGATAGATAGAGAGATAGACGAGGGAGCCTACATTATTTTCCCCATCTAAATGACTTCCTGTACAGACACTTCATAAGCCCTGGACAGCCTGAGTCAGCATGGCCAGCGTGGCATCAGCAGCACAGTTCCTGCCCTGCGTCGTTTGCCAGGGCAGGCAGCTGAGAGCAGTGCCAACTGGCTAACCTGTTTAAAGAACACTGAGGGACTTAAACACAGGATACCTTGACTTTGAACAAAGTGAAGTAAAAACAGGTGACACAGATAACGTGATGGAATCAGTCACTGCCTCTGGCCCTCCCACAGCATCTGAGAGAGCTGTTACTATTCATGGCTGCATCCGAACTCTTGATACTTTTGATTGATGATGCTGCCCTTGGAATGATCCAAAATGTTCCTGAAACATTTTTCTCTGACAAACTTTAACAATACAAGTGTTTGGTCAGACAACAGATCTATGAAAAAGCGTTCACTTTTCCAGAAATGTTTTTTCACGCTGCCTAATTTTGCTCTCTTTCTCCTAAGCAAACTTCTCTGTGTATAATTTCCATATCCTGACACAACAGCCAAACAGACGTGATGTATAATTCATCAAAAGATCCATAGTCTCTCCTGCACGTCTGGATTCAGACAATAAGGACTACACCGTACTTTGGTCGAATAAAAAGTCTCCCACAGTGACGAGGACCCCCGCGGAGCAGCCTTTGTGTCGTTGTACTCGGAGAACTTTTGTTGCATATGTAACATGCCGGTTGTTGTGAATTACTTTGCAATTAACCAGGAAATACATTGCTGAGCCAACAATTTCTGGCTCCCTGCAGAGTTCTGTGTGTTTTTATTTTTCATTATGAATTCAAGAATTACATCTTTGTAGTCAAACACTTACAGACTTTACCCACACACACACAGGCACATAAGTGCACAGGCAGGTGTGGGGCTGCTTCTTTGATGCCCCTCCCTCTAAGTGTTCCTGCTGCTTCCTGGCACCTGTCACTGTGGAGATGGCTGATTGCATCATCAACGCTCGCCAGAGGGGAACGGCTCAGTGAAAAAGAGAAAAAAAAAAAACCCCATCTCTCCATCCTTTCATCTGCCTTCTCCACTGATGGCCGCCCCCCCCCCCACCACTCACTCCCCTCCCTTTGCTTTTGTCCTCCTTGTGCCTATTCGTCCCCTTTGCTATGTCTATTATCTGCCCATCACCGCCGTCCCCTTTCATCAAAAAACCCCTAAAAGTAAAAGCAAAAAAATCTGACAGATCTGCTGTTTGAAATTGAGCTGCAAACGTCACTCATCCTTCAGAGCACAAGATATTGCTTCGGCCCTCTCACTGACCTCAATCCAAATCTGAAGAGGTCCATATGAATACTGCGTTGGAGCAGAAGGAAATTCACTTCTTTCTCTCCGTCTAATGAATCTATCGTGGCAAACGTGGGCTCGTCTTCAGATGGAAAACCCGCACTGTCCCTGAAATGACATTATCTTTCTGCTGTGATCATTCTGGGTCAATGAGAGCACATGAGCACGAGCGTGTCAACCAGAATATATAGAGTCAAGGCTCATTGAGGCCAGAATGTTACTGTTGACTGTACCTGCTTCCAGGTTAATGAAGAGAAAACAAACAGTGCGGGGTAATGACATCACAGCATGAGAACATCAACAGTCCATAAGAAGAAAATGGAAGTGAATTTACTGAAATATGACAGATGTAATAAACGGAGCAATGTGTTTGATTTGGCCCTGCAGCTCAGAGAAGAGCCAGATGAGGTGGGCCAGACAGCGCTTGGAGACAGACGTTTGCGTGGCGGGTCACCAGGCCGCTGACCCAGAAGTCATCCAGAGCTACACCAAGAAGGTGAGTTCAAAGCGGGTGCAGAGGCGTGCTGGAAAAAACCCAGTGACAGTCTGCATCGCTCACTTTTCATGAATTTGTATCTCCTCAAACACAACGTGAGAAAAAAAACCCCCGATCAGTGTCTTGTTGGTAAACAACACGGCAAGTATTATTCAAATGAAATCTATTAGCCCGAAATTCATTATTCTCAAGGCTGTAATTTTCAGGGCTGTACAAATAGTGTTTCAGTAATGATGCGTCTCTCCAGGGTGCAGACGCTTCACATCGCTTATTTCATGGAAAGGCCCTGTGGTGAACATGCACACTGACAAGTGACGCATGCAAAATGTCTTCAGAGGAAGACGGGAATATTTTACAGCTGCGTCCCAGGAATGCACTTCTCCATATTTGGACAAGGTGTATTTTTCCACAAGCCTCCTCTCATTATCTTTACCCCAACACTTTCAAAATGTTCAGAACTCACTGTGGCTGGAGCTGCGAGGTAGCAACAGAAACATTGATATTCATCTAGTGCATGGGTCGGGAACCTTTTTTAGCAGAGAGCCACACGTTTTAAAATGGATTTCTGTGAGAGCCATACAATATTTTCTTTTGCTCTGAATACAAGTAAATACGAGTATAATACGTCTCTGAAGTAGTAGAAAAAGTTATTAATAAATAAAATTAATAACGTTGTTATACTAACTAATGCATAAAATACAAATAATGCCACTTCTGGTGCTGATGGCTTTGATGGCTCCAAAAAAGCCAATGTGTTGTTGTGTTAAAAGAAAGCCAGCTACAATTTATCTGACTGCCAGATGTAGTCATCAAAAGAGCCACATCTGGCTCGCGAGCCATAGGTTCCTGACCTCTAATGTAGTGAGAAGTTTGTATCCATCCCAGATGACAGAACAAACCAGAAGTGAAAAAACACACTGTTCCTTCAGCACTAAAAAAATAAATATGTAAGGATAGTTAATCAAACCCAGATAGGATGAGTCTTGTTTAAACAACTTAAATGTATGACCTTTAACCTTTAGCCTATAACTGCATGTCTGCGTCACATGGTTAACCTATGGCCCTGGTATGCAAATGTCATTTTAAAATGTCTCACATTTTCCCGATGGGAAGTCATCGTGAAGGACTCTGAACAGAAAGTGAAGTCAAGAAGCAGGTGTGATCTGAGAGTGTGAAAATAATAATGGCAACTTGTTGCACGGGCCTCATCAGTATTCATGAGTGACGAACAAAGAAGAAAGAAGATCTTTACAATGAAGGGAAGGTTACAGTATTTTGGGGAGACAATAGTGAGAGCCTTAACCCTAGAAGACCCCTCGGTGAACGACGTCATCGCTGGCATTTATCTGCTGTAAGGTGCTCATGAATTAGCCAACAGCGCTGCAATGGGAAATTAAAATGTGCTCTATTGAGGAGATTTGCATCTGAACACCCAGAGAACACAAAGGGAAACCTGATTGGATGGAAACGCACATTACTGGATATAATGTGGCAACGTGACATGAATAACCAATCAGACCACGAGCTGACAGGGTTGCTAGATAAGAAACCACAGTCGGTCGTAGGCAGTGTGTGTGTGTCTCCTCGTTTTAGTTCCCTGTGTTGGTGTATTTTGGGATCAGGATTTTGACTTTTCAGGACCAGCAGACCTTTTGGAGGCATAATGAGCTGAAGTTTTAAAGATTTAGTCAAAGTTTAGGTCATGATGTTCAAATTCAATTCAGACTTACGTTAGCTGAGGTCAGACCAATCAAGAGAGAAATTCAGCCCAAAGAACACCGTCCCCACACAGTGATATTCTAACTGCAAAATGAATTCAGTAACATGTGTTTGTTGTGCACACAGGTTGTCGAAGCTAGTTAGGACTATGAGAGGTAAAGATGTGTCTTATTAAGACCCAGTGGTGCTGCAGTAACTCATTCCTCTCCTGTCTGAAGACTGACAGCCCCGACATCAACTGACAATTTACCACCACAGCCTCGGTGGCAGGGAGCGAGACACACGAGCACGCGTACACACGCGCACGGTTTCGGGTTGCAATAATGAGGTCTTTTTGTCATTTGAATATTTGATGGCTGCAGATGATTAGGGAGATTGTTGCCGTGTGAAAACAGGCGCTCATCACTCGTCAGCCTTTGTTTGTGCGTAAATGAGATTCTGTTTGTCTCATCAGTGCTGGAGAGACTGAGACTGAGCTCAAATTACTTTGTGCTGCTTTGATTGTCATCCTTTACCTTCACTTGTCGCTCGTGTGGGATTCTCGAGGAATGTGAAAGAGGTGACCGTCGTGTGTGTTCCTTCCACAGATCCAAGATGTAGCAGAACAAGGGATGATGTTCGTGGGCTTTCTTCAGCAGCCCGGTGGTGGACCCTACTTTTTAGGGCAGTTGGACCCCGAGGAGCTGTCGTCCTTGCATTCCAGCCCTTCACCCATCCATCGAAGCCCCTTCAGCACCAGCAACAGCCAATCAGAGCTGACAGAGTTACATTATAACAGCGTGGAGCCTGACCTGCACTGTACTGTACCTCAAGACCTCGGGAACCTAGAGTGTAGCTCACAGCATATGGCTGCAGGAGAAGTGGACTTCATCCCTCTGAAGGCCACCCAGAGCTCAGAGCTGGGCTCATACAGATCTGCACAGCAGCCTGAAAGTCCAGACGGAGTCCACAGATGTCCGACTCAGCAGCAGGAGGAGCCGCTGCACAGAGACTCCACAGAGAGACACCTGAACCTCCTGAATCAGAGAGAACGACCAGGTGACAGTTGGCTCAGTTCCCCTGAACTGCAACTCAACCATAGAAAGCGCTACAGCTCTGTCTGTCCAAATGGACAAAGCAGAGACAGGACACACAACAACAACCACATCTGCCTCAGGAGTACGGAGAAGGACAAGAACACAACTTTACCACCTGCCCAGGCCAGTGAGTACCCAGAGGACCGTCCAGTCTGAGCGGTGGTCAGGGAGTAGCTCTGGTCTGCGGCTGATCACTGTCTGTTCTTCTGGTTGCAGGAATCCAGCTCTTTGCACTGTACAACCACACAGGAGAACTTAACACCGCTCTGAGGTTCTACTCGCTAAGGGTTCCACTTCGGCTACAGAAGGAGGCCGGGCTTATCACAGGAGTGGACGCAAACTGGCTCGATCACATGACGCAACATTTCAGCAGCGGCGCGCAGCTCATTGATGGCTTTTTCCACCTCGAAGATAACACGGGTGAGACTCTCTATGATGGATGGGTGGATGGATGGATGGATGGATAAGGTTTAAGAACAACTGGTCCTCTCAATATACTTTTGTCCTGTCAAATGGCCAAAACCATGACTCTGTCAGCCAAGACTCGTGCTTAGATTCCAAATGGAAGCTCTTCTTTAAAAAAAAAAGTTCAACTTCAAGAGGGATTTGTTAAAGTTTAGTGGGAGCAGTGTTTGACAAGAGCTCAAAGCTGCTCCGGCTGCTGCCTGTAAGATGATATGCAGGGAGTCGCTGCTGCTGTGAAAGTCCACAGCTTACTTATTTTAAAGTCACTGATCAGTCCCCCGTGGAATGAACATGCTTAAGTTTTAGGAAAGAGGGATCAAGAGTGAGAGATTTGACGTGAGACTGAATCACAGACGTCCTGCTTCTCTCCTGCAGAGAGTGGGGTTTCATCTGTGGACAGCGTGTTCGTCTTTAAGAGCTCTGCGGAGGAGACCTCGAACGTCCGCTACGATGCCATCGTGGTGGAGCAGTGGACCGTCGTTGATGTGAGTCTCGGGAGTTTTTAACTCTCAGGAGATGTGAAGTCTGAGGAGTGAAGGCTTCAATTGTTTTCTGTGAAACATTATGTAAGAGCGCGGATGAGGGAAGAAAACATGGCTGATTTTTTTAATTTAAAAATAAATGTTATAGGCTTTGTTTAAAACGTCTGGAAAAAACAGAAGTTCTGCAATTCCCTTCAAAATATAACATTATAAAAAAAGTGCATTATTTTTAATTAATACTGCCAGATAAAAAAAGTGCATTATTTTTAATTAACTAATACTGCATGATAATCCTGCCCTCTGAATTACATAAAACAAAGTAAAAAAAAAAGCGTTCTAGTCTTGAGGATGCCACTGGTGCTGTAGGTTAACGCTTCACACAGAAGATGATGGTTTATACACAAAGCATTGACTTTTCCCCTCAAGATCTCGTTTACATTTGAAAAGAAAAAGCCTCTGTCAGTGGATTTAGTGACTGTTTGTGCTCATGTCAGAGATTAAATCTTGTTTTTCAGTGAACGTCTACTCCGATGTTTGAACATCTCTGTCTGTGTTTACAGGGTGTTGTGGTGAAGACAGATTACATCCCACTCCTCCAGTCTCTGGCTCCATTTGGATGGAGGCTGATGTGTGTGTTGCCTACACCGATAGTGAAGACCAACAGGTACAGGACTGTACACACGTCCTCACAGCTACAAAAACCCAGCCTGAAATCTTTGATAAAACTGTCGTGTGCTTCTTCGCCGCAAATTGATCACAGCCTCACCTCCAACCACCAAAGGCTCATTTTGTCTTTGTACATTTCACAGTCTCTTTATTCTCCTGTTTGGAACGCGGCCCGTCTCATTCTCTTTCGGGATTAGTTTTGACAGTGTAGTAGAGACACCCGTGACAGATGGTTGGAGATCTGACAAAATCACAATCATCCCCTCCCCTCGACATGAAACCGCTTCTGAAAGCCGCCGTCGTCGGGTGCAGAAACAGCTGCAGAAATGTTCACGTCGGGGAGTCTGTCACTTCATACAAACCGCCGCTAACAAAAAGTGGATTTTAATACATGTGGCAAATATACGAGCTCAGCGATTCACTGCAAAACACCTAGCAGTATTATAGTGCTGCACTTTCCTTTTCTGCAGTGACGGGAGTTTGTCAACCAAGCAAATCCTCTTCCTCCAGAGACCGGTTTTACAGCGCAAAAGAAAGGACTTCAAGGTTTGTGCATCTTTTTTTGTACATCTTTGCAGCTTATCTGTCACTTCTCTCTGTTGTGCTTGAAGATGCGCGACTAAATGTCACTCTAAATTCAACAATTCTAAATATGGGATGTACAGCAAATATAAACCTCCTTCTGAAAAGTCTAAAATTAGGAGAATAGTCAGCTGCCAACCGTACAGGTGAGAGGCATCAGCGAGAGGCTTTGTTGTGACTTGGCAGGTTTTTGGAGAAACAGAGAGAACCGAAAAAAAAACAGACAAGAAAAAGTAAATCGTCTAAAAAAAAGTCTGTTTGATTTCAGATGCTGAACCTCAGGGGTCGCAGCAAGGCGAAGAAGAACTCTGCTGAAGATGAGAGGCAGATCAGACACTCTGCTGTGAACGAGGCAGAGATGGACACTTTAGGAAGAAACACAAAACATGAGGAAAAGGAAATGGAAATGAGGAAGAGCAGGGCGGAAAGGCCGCAGTCTCAGGATGGTGGGAAAAACAGGGCCGCGGACGTGACGCATCAACACGGCTTCCTGTTCCTGTCGGGACGCAGGGGTTCTGTTGAGGACCAGGAGGAGGAAACTGATGTGGACATGATCCCTCTGTCCAGGCAGGAGAAGACAGTGAGATGGACAGATGTGTGTCAGAGCATCGACGGAGAGATGATGGAGAAGGTGAAGATGGAGGAGCGGATCAAACACCAGCTTTTCTCTGGTGTCTGTTGAAACACTGGGGACAAGACAACACCAGGTACCAGACCTTTTCATACAGTTCCAGGTCCCTGTGGTGGGAGCACAAACAGTTCCTGGTTCTACGGTTCCTCAAACGGATTCATCTTCAGTCAGTGAAACAGGTCAGTTCTTCAAAAAGAAAAGTCTGTTTGAAGAGTATTTAAAAAAATCTGTATTTTGAACTTCTACAGTACGAACTGTAGCAAAGACGTCTGTCTGTTTAGGATGTGAGTTTGTTTCGTTTTTTGTTGATGTGGTTCTGACGACGACTGTAGGGAACAGTTACAGGAAAGTCTCCAGTTTAAGCCTTACGCTGTCTGTGTCACGTGGTTTATTTTTTGTTGTATTTCTAGGACCAACTGTAGCAGAAGTTCATTCGTATGTTCACCTAGTCAACAGATTATTTGTATCTCATTACAGACATCAGTGTTCCTTCACCTGCTGACCAACAATAAACATTCATAGAGCAGAAAAAAACAAAACAGTGGTAGTGATTTATGGTTATTCAAAAATATATATTTAAAAAATTGAAACTGCCTCAACAGAGAGTTACTGAATTAGTCAGGCACCAAACTGAATCGTCTGATCTGACCCATGACTGGATACATCAAATAATAATGTAAGACAAAAACGTGAAATCTGGGTAATCTGGGTTTAATCTGGGTTTAATCTTTATCAATCCAAGACACGTGGAGGTAAAATTCTTTGTCGTCAGTTTCACAAGATCTTTCAATTCCAGGAGATCTGGACCGCAGGTAGGCCAGCGAAATACACACAGTGTGGATAAAACTTTAGTACTTTTCTTTTACAAAATGCCTCCTGTCTACCTGCAAGTATGTTTCTCAACCAAAAATGATTTAAAATACACAAAAAATTCTCAAATGAATCCAAACTTTTAGCCATGTGATTTCAAAACAATGAAGCCTGAAGTTCTACATTTGTGTAACCTTAATTTTCCTCTCAGTATAACTTTACTCAAGTATTCCAGTGATACACCAGGCCCAAAACATAAAGTATAAGTTTTTGTAACGTACTCACTAATTTGGGAACTACCATTCAACGACGAAGGTTCTGACGAAGACGTGATGGCACTAATTTATGACCCGTGTCTTCAACTGCCTTTATGGTGTGTGGTGTTCGTGCAACAAGTCCAAAAATGGGACAATAAAGAATTCAAACAGACCAAAGCGCTCTCCTTGACTTCGTTCATATTTCACACCACTTGAATAAACCGTTCTTTTCATACGGCAAATGAATGCAGTATCAACTCCGCCCGGTCTCGACGGCTGTCCCCCCACTGAGGGAAAGAAAAGGAGACGCTGGCTCTCATCTCTGAGGGATGTTCACTGATCCAAGGAAATGGGAGACCACCTGGAGGTTCCCATTACAGTGCACCATGGGAAACTCACCCGCTGCACCCTGGGATGAAAAAATGTTCGCGAGGACGTGCGTGAGAGAAAGAGAGAGAGAGAGAGAGAGACGGCGCGTTTGCGTGTTTTACGTAGTGTAAATGAGGGGAAGAGGCAGAGACGTGGGTCAGAATGTGGGCGTCGGACAAAACTTCTTCCTCTAAAAATACCTAGATGTTAGAGAAAAACGCCTGAGAGAAAAAAGCAAGAAACTCAGCAGGGGGCAGCAGAGTTCACTCACAGCTCTACAGATATGTAAGTAGCTCTGAGGTGTTTCACTGAGTAAACAGTACAGTTAACAAGTTCTAACAAATGGGTTTTGTTTTTTAAGCTTTACCAAAGACGCGACTGAAACATCTGTCACGTATGAACCCAAAGAGGTAAAAAAATAGTATCGCAGGTTAAAAAAAAGGAAAGACAGGATGTTGAAAATGCACCAAACAGCGAGAAAAGGCTAACTTATGCATTTATGTAAATTATTCATGGACTGGATATTATTTGACAAAGGTCACTAGGAGTAACAAATCCAAGTTTGGTACGGGTAGCATCAAAGGGGGGGGTGTCTTCAGTGGTCTGTGACTGCACTGACAGCTGTGGTTTCTGTAACCATGACTGTGAAAACCATTGTCACCTGAGGAGAACCAGCTCTCAATGACATCAGAACGTCTGTTCACAGATTTAATTCATGTAAAAAAAGAAGAAAAAAACAGCTCTGACCAAATACTTCTGTAAACCACTGCAGTTCCACGTGATTTAACACCATTTATTCCATCAGTCACAGATGAAATCCAAACACTCAATGATGTGTGAAAACAGTACGAGATACTATTGTGCGTATAGATCATTTTGTATCATAGAAAAAAAAACAAAGCAGTATTTTAACAAAAAAATGATGTTAAATAGAAAGAGGTAATAATTTTTTAACATTTTTTGCTACTTTTTTTCCTAGCAAGCTCTTTGATATATGACACAGTGGTAACTTGCCAAACCCCACCACTAGGGGATTAAAAAAAAAGGATCTAACAGTGACTAAAAGTGGGAATGAATTTGGTGTAAAACATTATGCAAAACCAAATAATCCAAGCATAGCAATAAATCCTGCATAATCAAAACAATCAATCTCTCCAAAATTTAGGCAATTGTTTCAAAGTAAAATTTAAATTAAAATCATAAATTACAACCACTAAGCCATGGAAACAGACAAGTTTGGTACGTGCCTTTCTAAATTCTGACATGGCAAAGTTTAACGTCAGCGGAGAAAGCAGTGAAACCTCCCTCTGTTCACAGCCTTATGCTAAGCTAACTAGCCGTTTGCCCCAGATTTATATTAAACCAGTTTGTTCCAGACAGAGTAAGAAAACAGATCCTTTAAGATGGATGTGCACAGGTTCATTAAAAAGACAAACTTAATTTATATATATTTATCTTTTTAGTCAGAATTTAAATTCATAGCCGAGAATCTGTGGATGGAATATTATAAGGTTATTTGCATCAAATGTTTTATATACGAAGACTGCATTGGAGTTGAGGTATCAACATGTCTTAAAATCAGCTTTCTAGTTAAAA